CATCTCTTAACATTCTAAAAAGTGCTGAACAATGTACATACCCCATATTAAATGACTCTAAAACTTTTAAATTCTTATATTTCAAAAAGTCAGTTATATGGATTTGTTCTTGTTCAGTGCTATTCAATTTCCTTTTAGCATTTACCTGTAAGAATATATAAAATAACTGTTGATGAGATATGGAATAACAGGAATAGTTCAGTTGAAGGCTGATCTGGATTTCTGGATTTGATGGAGTTAGTTCAATATAATGGTTTTTAGTAAAGCTGAAGTCAAGCCACCTATGTATAGCCAAAGGGTGTAGCTCTAATTTAAATAATACTAAAATGGTTTGAGAGTAAAAAGATTTTTTAAATGATGGTAGGAAAAAGCTGACCTTCTACTTCCAAGTAATGATTTCATCATTTGTAGTTACAGTTTCTTGATACAGAAGAAGAAGTAATAAGTATAGACAGGTAGTATTAACACTTTTGCATAAAGCGTTAATGTGACCGTTACTGAAACACTGAGTCTGTTTTTTTGAAGTAAATATTTCAAAAATTGGGAAAAGTGGAGAACAGAGTTTTAAGAAGAATCTGAGATGTGGAAACAGATCTGATTCTGTGAAAAAATTAAGTATCACCATCTTTTTAGTCTATCTATGAGATGGTTAATTGTAAATGTGATCATGGTGGCATAGTAACATTTTCTGTCCCTTAGAACCTTATATGCTGAACCAACAAATCAACCAACCAACCAACCAAGCATATTAGTAAGATTTCCCAGGATGTAAGTCAACATAGCTCTTTTTATAGTCTGCACTGGATGAGTCCAGTTAAATCCAAAACCTAAGCTTATGTAAACTTCTAAAAATGATTTTGGTTATTCTGACTGTAGAAAACATAATCTGATAATATTTTCTTTATCCCACTCCAGTCTCTTTGCCCTAAAGCACAGGGAATGGCGTATGGAAGGTCCTCAGTAACCATTTTTTTGGAATGGGAATTGGCTTCAAGAACATAATCTTTGTGACAGTTTGTCATGTATGATGGAGGCAGGAGAGAATATTGTTAGAGCATGCTGCAGTCAGTAATTTTTAGCTGTCAATTGGTCTCTGGAGCCTGTAGTTATTTGATTTGTACTGAACTATCTCTTAGCTTATTATAACTTGAGCCAGGAACTAGAAGAGAGTGACAAAGCCACAAATACCTCCCAGTTGGTCCCATTGTTAGCACCTATCAGAAACTTAGTATAGCAACTAATCTTTCTTACGTAAATCTTAGAGGTAAACTCTTCCTTATTGTCATGAAAAGTTGCACTGAAACTTACAGTAATCTGATTATAGTTACCTAAAGAAAATAAAGCACTTTTCTTCAGACATTTGCTCTAATTTTGTTACCAGTGAAAAGAGAAAAGAAAATGAGAGAATAATAATTATTAAATCATTTAATTATGAAATAAAATACATTCAAATTTATTCCTAATGAAACTGTGAATACTGTAGTCCCCCAAATTGTTTGCAGTAGTTAATCAGATGGTGATATGCTCTCTCTGATGGAGCAAACCCAGGTAGTAAATCATTATTAGTTGTCTAATGGGAAGATTCTACTGTGAAAATAAACAGCTGTCCACAATCAAGAAATTGTTTACAAGAAACCATTACATATCAGATGCTTTATTCTCTTCAGGAAGGACTGAAGGCCTGACATATTGTGTGGTTGGATTTTGAAAGAAAGAAAAATATTGTTTGTATTTTTTGCTATGCTTTATTTTTAGATTCTAAAAGCTTGATACTCTTTTATAGTGCCACTTTATTTTTCTTGGAAGGAAAGACTCTTAACTACTCCTTTTTTGAGATTTCTGCATATTCTGTATGTTCATGAAGTGGTTATATTTGTGTGCAGCTACATAGCCAGAGTTTTTCTCAGCCCTGTGAATTGGGGCATATAAAAGCCCTTCCTCCGCTCAGGAATATCTTCCAATGCATCTTAATTCCAAGAGTTTCACTTCCAGTCAGTTCCATACTTCTCAGGTGGGATTGTATTTTAGGGAAAAACCTGGTCTTTGGTTATCATTGAACAGAGTCAAAAAGAAGCTTCAGATCCCTGTGGAAAGACCTAAACCTTGCTCATGCTACTTGACCCCTATACCTGCACATTTAAAGTTAGTAAACAAAGCTGAGGTCTCTGTCATCAAGGGCTTGAAACAGAATGAAATGCTGGGCAGGAAACTGTACTCATTACCATCAGCACCAATCTGTATTTCGAATTGTCTGACCTTTGAGAGATGCATCCTTAAGATATTTCCCCGTTTGTAAGACTTTCACTTCTTGACTTCACTTGAAAGACTTTAATGCACTAAACAGCTGAAGGGCAGCTGTGCTTAAGCACAGCCACGTAGACTTTGCAGCAAAAGACCAGAGTTGGCATAAACCCATGGACTGCTAAAGTATTGGGGGAGTGCATGTTCTTTATAGGTTTAGTCAATTGTTGAAGACAATCCCCTTGTTTGTTTCCCATGCTGGTAATGCCCTACACTTAGTGAAAGGCTCACATGGAGGTTCCTCACTTTAGGAGTTTTTTTTTGTCATTTCCTAGGTGGAGGCTAGTCTACTGCCTATATTACAGCGTGTCTAGACAGTAGTATACTCCTTTGTTTGCTATCTCCATATAGAATGCAGGAATCTCTCAAAGCAAGTCTCTGACTCCCCAGTCAGGGAGGTTAATTTATAATTTCCTGTGGATAAGCTTGCCCTAAATCTTCTATCCGCAGAGTGAGACAAGATGATATTATTCTGAAGCAAAAGAGGATGAGACTTGGAGCTCAATTAAGATGCACCTAACAGTCATATTTAGCCTTTATCCTCACTATAAAGTTCCCAAAGGGTTTGGTAAGGCCTTGGTGGTGTGTCTTCTTGTCAAATCCCTGTCCCTCCTTTGATGTGCTAGGCTTTCAAATCACAGGATACTCATTCACTTTCTCCTCATGTCAGTAAAAAGAGTTTTCCACTTAGATAGATACCAAGTCAGACAGGAGAGCACAAGAGAAGCTTAAGGCTTTCTGTAATGCCATCAAAATTCTTCCCTCTTTGGGATAGTTATTCTGAGCATTGGATTCACCTTAAGTTCCTTTCTAAGGCGATGTAAAAATTTAATCTATTTATTGTATGTGTGTGTAACAAACGTATTATTTTCTGAAAGAAGTTAATCATTCATTAGCTTCTTTGCGCACTTGCAATGAGTAAAGAAGAGTCTGTGTCTGCAACTGAAAATCTAAAGGACTGGTTGTTTTGTTGCAGATACTTTTCAATGAATTTGGAATTGTCTTTGTCTGTGACAATGAGAGTTCACTCTGCCAGAGCTCGGGTAACATCTGAGCTTTTCTACGGGATGTCTCCATTTTGGATGTCTGCCAAACTGCACCTGGACTTCCATTCACACTTTCATTAAGTGTAACGCTATTGTTGAAACCCTCGAGCATGATATTTCCTTTGGAAGAGCAGTTTGTTGGTCTTTATTTGACTAGGAAGTCTCAGACCTCGTCCGAATATGTAGTGTTTCTGTGGGGAGTACTTCTTGGAATTATCCATAGGATGAAAGTAGCTGTAAGTTTGAAGAGGCCATAAAGTTTACTTTCTTACAACTGTTCAAGTCTGTGTTAGCTACATATGTGAAATTGTCTACTTCTTTTCCCTTGAAATCTCCACTATACTTCCAAAAGTTCTCTCAGGTCAGTAGAATTGAGAGGGAGAAGCTTCTGTCATCCCTTTTATGGATGCATTTGTGATTTGTGCAGAAAGGAGGAGTTTACATGTGTTCCTACAGAAATTGCTTAGGCAAAAATTCTCTAGCTTACAGCACTATAGTAAAGATTTGCTGGCAGAATGAAAGTACATGTTGGCAATCCACCTCAAATATAGATAATAAGCTTTCTTCTGTGAACCCTGCAGGCTATAAGGCCCTCAGATATGAGATCTGAATGTAATCATTGTCTTAATGTAGAGCTGCAGGGTTTATAGAACATTGAGGAACATGGCCCGCATGTCTTTGTGGTCCACAAAGAAAAGTAGTCTATAAATTCATAAATAAAGACCACCATGACCATGCATAGGCAATGGAATTTTCCCTGAATCTGAACTAAATGATTTCTTTAATAATGCAACTCTAAAGGCCTGAAGTAATACAGAGCTTCTGGCTTCCTGCTAAGTCATTCCCATTACAGCTGGAAGTTAGGCATTATTTCATATTTATCTTCTGACCTAATTTTCACTAATTTTACTTTGCATTGTTCTAACAGTATTAAGCATTTTTAAAGAAGACAGGGATGATATTTAAACTCCTTTTAAAGACTTTTACAGTGCCATAAAATGGTAAGAAAGTCAGGAAATACATCTGAACAGCAGTTTCCCAAGATCTACAGCTTTGTGGACATTTCTAAGCCAGCCCAGGTTATCTAGCTGAGATACTGCTAGAAAGGTAGCTACTGTACAGAGCTCTATGCAGGACGCAAGTTTCATCTGAGAAGCTGAGTACATTTTCATGTAACTAATCCTTGCTGGTCAGCTACAGTGTCCAGGAAAATTATGACTGAAAGCTGTTAGCATGCAAGTTGAGTGTATGTTTATATAACCTGTTGAACTGGGACTTACATGCTAGGATTTACTAGGATGAGATATGAGCTGCATTGAAAGCCTCCTTTTAAATCATCCTTGTTATAATGATAGTATTTGGATTCATAATCAGTAATTCAGGATAACAAACGTAAGTTTTTGTGTTGTTTTCTGCCTCATTGTATTTAGGTATTTTAAAAAGTGCTATATCCTGACTGAACATGACATGAGTTTATGGAATGAAAAAGTGAGAGCAGATACCCAGTATCTTCCTTACCAAACACATTTAAATTATAACAGTTTTTGGAAGTTGAAACATTGTTCTGAATTATGTTCTGTTTTCAAAATAATTTCTGATTTTTAAATATCTACCGTATGTGTAAGTTCACGTAAATGCTATTTTTATTCACAGATAGTGCACCTCAGGTAGCAATTACCGCACCAGGATCTGGTAACCATAGAAACAGCTCTACAGGCCCAACACCTGACTGCTCTCCTCCATCACCAGACACTGCACTTAAAAACATAGTAAAAGTTATACGTCCTCAGGTAGGTGATCACTATAAACATCCTCCTATTAGTTATATTTTTCATTTTATAAGCAGGCTATGATGCATGTATTCTATTAGGATGTTATCACTATATTCATACAGATAGATCAAAGATAATGTACAGAATCCGAGATATTTTTTATACTCAGAAAGCAGTTTTGACAACATAAGGAGAAAGTGGAATATATTATGAATGAACTGAACAATATATAGAGAGATACCAGTACATTTTTTTGTCACAGCATTAATACTGAATGCAATCTTTATGCAATGTTTTGTATTTTTATGTACTATTAAATTTATTCCAAGTTTATGTTCTAGTTTTATCAGTATATTTTCCTATTACTTCTTCAGATTTTCCTCCCTCTTTCTGTATTTCCAGTTACATGGTTCCATACTATTTTATGCCTTCTTGAGTTCACCTTCTTTTATAGTATTGTTTCTTGACTTTCACCCTTCCTAACTGTAAACATGCTCATGCATTTCTAGTAGTACTTTGTAAACAATGTGCTTAGTGCTTTGAAATCTGAGTGCTTTCTCACAGTTCCCTGAGGAATACAGCTAATATCTGTCACTTTCTTTTCATTCTGTAATCTCCTCCCCAAATGGAATTGTGCCTATAGTAATGTTTTCTTTTGAGAGGTATTTTTCATATACACATTTTTATGCTTTCTTTCAAGAAGGGCAGATGAGAGGAGCACACTTATGTTTGGAATAGAAAGATAGTATAATTTTTGGGCTCTTAGTCCTCAGCAAGATCTCTGTAATAAAATTCTCCCTAGAGCACTATGATAGAAATTTGTTTTACGCTAAGGAAAAAGAGAAGCTGTCCATTAATCTTAATCTGGGCCTTGTCTATGAGACATCTTTAAAATAAACAAAATTACAACTTGATTCAGTAGTTTAGAAGTAACCAGCATACAAGAGTTTACTTTAAAATCATAGGATCATAGAATAATGTAGGTCAGAAGAGATTATCTGGTCTAGCCACTGCTTAAAGAAGAGCTAGCTGTGACATAAGATTTTTTACGAGGAGAAAACAATTCTAAAACTATCCACTGAATTGGCTAATTGTTATTGTGAAACTGTTGCTGTGAATCTTTAATAAAAAGGCCTTCTGTCCCTCTCCTACCGATTATTGGGTTCAAGTGTAACCACCTGTTCTTCACTGATGGCTCTTCATCTCTGCCTCTGGGCCACTTTGATGCTAGTGGATGAAAGTTTTGTATCATGGGTATGTTACTGGCACAGATGTTACTTGATAGATAAGATAATGGATGTATGTATATTTTGATAAAAACTCTAAAGGATTGATTGCTTTCATGCTGGTGAGTCGAAAGTGTTATAGTGATGGAGGTGGAACTTCCCCTCTACTCACTGGAACCCACAGTTCAGAAAGTCTTACAGAATTATAGGTGGTTACAGATGGACCTGCCATTTCTCTCTGAGGAGACTTTGGTTTCCTACAGCTGACAATGTCAGTGCACCAGAGTGGCCAAGAGTAATAACAATTTTATCCTCTGACTGGTGCAGACTATCCCTCAGTGACACTAAAGTGGTTTGGGTTCCACATCCTGGCTTAAATCTAGATTGCGGGGATTCTACAATAACAGCTTCTCGTTCTTTTCTCTTTTTATAGTTTCTCATTTTGCTTATTCCTGTAGTCTCTCTCTCTCTCCCACCTTACATCACGATAGTACTGAAATGCCTCCTTCCCTCTAAGTTGTTTTTTATAGTAGGCGGCAAGCAAGCAGAAAGGTATTGGAATATTGTTGGAACAAGCTGTTTTGTGATAGCTTATTGAAAATAGCATTTAAAAAGCTGTTTCCATCATGATATTGCCAACAGATGGACCCAGAACATTGAATGGTGATGTTCTCATTCTACTTAACTTTGAATGGATTCATCAGATTCTGGGGAGCTATTTTCAAATTTAAATCACACCATTTACTAACTCCCAGTATTCTCATCGTTCTACAGAGCAAAAGCTAGCTGTGCAATATATATGGTCAGAACTTTACCACATTTACTAAAATCTCTCTCATGTGGCCCTACTTCCTATGCAGAAAACAACAGTAGAAAGACACATGCAGTCTACTGCATAATGTGTGTTGTAAATCTATGTACTATTATACAGAAGATTTGGATCTATTATAGTATCAAGATCCCATTATGCTTCTCATTTCCCCATTTGTTTTATGCACATTCCATTAGTATTCCTCCTCTTGGTTTGCCTAATCTCCCCGCAAAATCTCAACCAAAGAACATAAACAAAGAACTTGTAAGTATTTGCAAAGTGATGTTTGCAAGCCATTAGTGTTAATTCTGCCTGCATATTTAATTCCTTTATTCTGCGCCTGTTGCATTCATTTATGTGGCAAGCTCTTGGAGTTTAATAACATGGGATTCTATTTTTGACTGACCTCTCATCACTTATGTAATACTAATGAATAATTATATACAATGCACAAAGAAAACCCTAATTTCTTGTTGTCTGCCAAGGCCTCTTTGCACTATTCAAGCAAAGTAAACAGATCTTAAAAGGCAACAGCAACAACCCTAAGAGAACAGAACCAAGACAGACATCATATCAGTTGCCAAAACTGATGTCACTCCTTTCCCCTTCTCGTATATCTTCTGCATCCAGCATAGGAAAGTACTAGTAACTTGGTCAGTGAAAGGCAGAACGTAGAACTCTACTGGTTTTGCACTATGCAGGCTTTGGTAGCTTGGATGAAACTGCTGGAGGAGTCTAGCCTTTTGACTTATATTTTTATTTTCATTTTTAGCATTACTATATTTTTCGTGGAGGTTTGTATATATAACAGGCTACCACCAATGAGAAGGAACACAGCGATAACTACTCGTTGTGATATATGTAGGCAGCAGCAGAGGGAACCAAAGATTCCTTTCTTCCAGCAATCTGGCAAGGGAAGGGGATGGCGAAGAGTGGAGAAGAAGTAACAGGGGCTGAGCTGGGGTTGGAGCCAGAGGTCCAGGCCATGCTACTACCCTCCAGTTTTCTTCAGCCAGGCACTTAATACTGTGTGTCAGGTCACATGGAGGCAGTGTATCTACATGCGTCAGCATATAACAGATTCTTGAGACAAGGTATTCATCTGAATATGATTATTAGCCCAGCAGAATGGCCTGTCCTCACTCCTATTCTGGAAACTTGTGCACCAAATACAGCTGTTCAGGGGCCCTGTCAGTTACATCTGGGGTCCTTGAAGAAGGGTGAGGCTTGATGGTGCATTGCCAGTACGTGAGGTGAAAGTGCTGCAGCTGGGGGAAGTATGAACCAGAAACAAGATGAGTGAATCTCATACCCAAAGTGTGAATCCTGAGAGGTCTGGGTCATGGACAATTAAGGGATTCTTCAGACTGTTCCCAGAATTTGTTTTGTCTTTTTCCTTCTAGTTGTCCCTCAACCTGGCCCTAATATTCCCTTTACTGTATTAAAAAGTTGTCCCCATAAAACCTGGCTGGGAATATCTCTTTTCTTTCCACTTTTCACTAATGTTTGTGGAAATTTATCCTTTCTTCAACTAATTATGGTGAATTTTGAGCTGAAGAACCTACTGTTTATTATGACTGTACCAGCTCATCCCTTATGAGATCCCTCTGCTCTCTAAAATGCAACGTAGACTCTATTTAGATATTTCTCAATTATTCAGTTCTGTGCACTGTTATTAAAGCTGAAGCCTACTCTAAATGAAATGGCGTATCTCCCTGGCACAATGTAGTATTCTGGAGGGATATTAACTCACATCTCAGAATCAGTATTGGGTAAGTTCAATGCCAAAGTGCCATCCACCTCTGCTGCTTCCAGTCCTGAAGCTAGCTCATTTAACATTAATTCAGGGATCTGTCTGCTATGTTATCTGCACACCTTAGTTGTGGCCTGTACCTGTAATCCCGTATTTTGCAAATACACTTCTTGTTTTCCAATGTTCACAGAGTCTGTAAGATTCTGCCCCTTGATGCATAGGTCAGTCTCTGAGAAAAGTAGATTTGTTGGGAAGTTATATATATGCAGATAAGAAACAAACAGAACTTTAGTGTAGAGTTTTGAATCACTTGACCATTATTTTCCAGGCTGTTCAGAAAAATCTTAGTAAGCTTTTAACTAATTATTTGCTCATTAAAGAAGACTTGAGAAAGTAATACAGTTCCAATTTGAAGAGCTATGCCTCTGTGAAGTATACTAACAGGAGCTGAGAGAAAAAATGAGGTGTGGTATAAGGCAAGGTAGGCTAATGCTTTAACTGAAGTCCTCTGAAATTTTAGGCTCTCTTCCAAGTTTTAACTTAGTTACATTACAGTAAAATATAACTTGTATAACAGAACTTAGATCAGAACTGGAATATAAAAAGTGATAGTAAAATTGAGTTTGTTCTGCCATAACTCCTTTAACTCTCAGTCTGGATGAAGCCTGAACAAAATTGGGCTGCATGTGAAGCTTCATATATTTTTGGTATTAGCCACCTTACTTAGTAAGACTCTCCTGACCTTAACTTAATTTGTTCACCTCCATTTGTACAAGTAAGCTATACACATATATAGAGAAAGATCATCTGTTTTTCCTCAGAGACTTTCATTTGCTGGTCCTACTCACTTGTCAATCATTGGTCAGTTATAAAATTGAATCCCGACTTCTCACCTTTTAAATTCTTGGTTTATTAATTGTAATACATCATCTGAATCTTCTCTTCTTTCTAAGGTATGTTTCACAAGGCTAACTGTATGTATAGCTTTTGATGGCTAAGCCTGGATGATTTAAAAGTGACTTAGATGTTATCTATCATAAAATAAGATTTTTCCCATCATTCTTTTGGCTAAGACATCTAGCAATGACAATCTGGTAGAAGATAACAGTTTATATGTTTAGAAGAGAGATTAAATTATTTCATTTTCTGTAAGCAGAAATAGAATTCTGCAAGGCAGTTGTAGCCTCTGATAGCCCTGTCCAACTTGTTAGGACTACCGGTTATGCCT